ACTTGTAGTTTACAGATTTGGAACAGAGGGCATGATGGTGGATGATTCATAATGTTTGGAGAAACAGTTGATTATGCCATGCCGTGCCTTGATTTTTCCACATTTTGGTCCATGTGTGGCATTGCAATGGATTTAATTGGCATGGTTAACACTTGATGTATACAAGATACGCAACACTGTGAAGATGCAAAATCGTTTTATTGTGGTGTCAAAGCTCAGTAAACCTGGTGGCTCTACCATGCAACAAAATGCAGAAAAGACCACGAATGCTCACAGGTCACTTCTGCATAGCAGGGTAATAAGCTGATCCAGAGTGAATGAGAAAGAAAAGACAGCATTTCCCTCCAGACCAAAAGGCCAAACTGGATGGCTCATTGGCACCTAATGAGCAGCAAAATTCAGAGTGGAGAAATGTACCCAAATTTATTTATTTAATTTGTATAAATGTGTCTTTCTACACTGATGACCTATCTGGAAACTTTTTGCATGCTGATTCTCCTTGCTGAATTGTGCTGGCTGTTTGCAAATGCTAGGGCTTGGGCAGCACTTGTGAAGCACCCCAGCAGTGGGGTTAGCAATGAGCAGCACTTTCCATGGCATGAATTTGTGCTGGACTATGGCTTGCAAGCTTGATACATGGCATAAAGTTGTCTAGCTGAAAAGGAATGAGTATGCTTGCCTTCCTCATGGGGTCAGTAAGAGCTGCTCTTGTGGTCAGAGTTGATTTTTAAGGAATTTGAAGGAGGGGCTAGCTGAGTAAGAAGGCGGCTCGATGGAATGGACGTGGTGGAAGACTTCAAAAATTGTAAGTAGTTGGATGGGTAAATAAGGAAAAAACTTTAGCAGTGCTTAGTAAAGTGCAAAGCAGGGGAACAAGGACTGTAATTTACATACCTCAGATTTACACTGAGGTATGAGTATGCTTAGAACTTTTTTTAAAGAAGAGAGAGAGAGAGTGAGAGAGAGAGAGAGAGGGAGGGAGAGGGAGAGGGTGAGAGTCCAATTTGTCCTTGGACCCATTGCAGTAGATAACGTTGACTACGTTAATGGCTTGTGCAGTATAATGGTAATCCCTACAGAGGTTTCAGATTCTATTAAGAAGCTGGCATCTATCTTAGATCTAATCAATTGACAGGTCAATCACCGTCTGAGATGTCCTTTGCATCATCACATTTGCAGGTGAAATATTGCTGGGAAGGCACCGTGATAAGGGCAAAAATCGCTTCTGAATCAGACTTTTTGAGTTAGGTTTGGGCACCGAAAGGTATGTGCCCAAGTGCATCCAGGTGGATGCTGTATGCAGAGGAGACCCTGTAAGGATCCAGGCCTGAAAACACTCCATACCACTCTGAAGCCTTCAAAGCTGGAATGCACCAGAAATTAGTTTTTACAGAATATGCTTCTGAGTTGCAAAAAGAGTGCATTCACAGGCCTCTCTCAGGAGCCGAGGGTTTTTTGTTATGCTGAGATCACTGGGAACTATCTCCTTGTGCTGCAATGTCCTAGGGAGAGAGTTCTTGCCTGTGTTCCCTGGATTGGCATCGCTAGGGCCAAAGTCAAATGTGTACCCCAATATCGCCGTTGCTTTAATGGCACATGAAGGCAGGTGGTTCTATCAGGAATTTCTGGTTCTAGGGGACACAAAGAACTCCACTGCAAATTCAGAGATGCATGTAGGGTGGCTGAGATTTGGATTGCATCATGGTTAGAAAGTAAGAAATTAGGTAAACTTGCATTATGGTGTGAAAGAAGCAACTTTGACTCATGTTCCTATTTGTACTTTGCAAGTTTGATGAACCCAGACTCTGAGCGTGATGGATGGGAAGAGGAAGGTTGCTTGTGGACTATGCAAATGAAGTGATGCACTTGACCATCCAAAGCAGATTTGGATGGTGAGGATAGAAGGCCATTGAGTCCAGGAGCTGAATTAGCAACACCACTGGCTAGGAGATAATGGGAACTGCAATCCAACACATTGGGAGGATGGAGATACCTGCAATCAAGTGCCTGCTTTGATCGCTCAGAAATGATGCCTATATTAAGGGTAGAGAAATGTGCAATTAAAAGCCGGAAGTGGCGGGGAAGACCCTGTGCTGTTAGTCATGGAGAAATAGGGCTTGTCCAAGTCTCCAGTTCTGGGCAAAGAGGCCCCATGGCCTGGCCTGGCACCAGGCAGCTTGCTATGCTCATGTTGATGAAATGCTGACATGGAAATGTATGCTAATGGTTTTAGCAAACTCTTCGCAGTATGGATGATGGTGATATTACAAAACGGATGCAAGTCCTCCCTGAGCGTTCTTCTTATGTCTCCCAGCAGCCTATGATGGATTTTAATGTACCATTTTTTGAAGTCATTAAGACGTTCAAAAGTCCTTAAGTTGTCACATTTGTGGTTTTTAAAATCTGAACTCTGAGAGGGCACAAGTGGATTTTTGTGTGTGTGAAGGATGCTAATATGCTATATGAGGAAATCACATATATAATAGATTTCTGTGTAAAGTGTGTGTGTGTGTGTATGTGTGTGTGTAATAGTTCATTTCAGCTATTATGGAGCCCCATCTGCTGGTAATTTGCAAGAATGTCAGTGTGGTTATACTTTAGTTCAGCTTTCTCCAACTTGCTGTCCTCCAGCTGTCTTTGATTACAATGTCCATCATCTGGAGATGATGGGAGTTGTAGGCCAACACATCTAGGGGGCATGAGGCTGGATACAACTGGTTTAATTTCACAGAATGGTTCATTTTCCAAATGTGTGTTAGGCTTGGAGCACTGAAGAAAAAATGTCAGAGGGATGGATCAACAACACAGCTTGAATTAAAGTATCTGCCACAAATTGAAGGTTTATGTTAATATTCAAAAAGGACCAAAAACTGAGAATTTTCAAATTTGGGGCATACATGCAATGTCATTGCTTCCTCCTTTCTTTCTTAAGCATTATCCATATGATAAGCATTGACCTGCATGTCCTCTAGCTTAATTGGGTTAATGAGTTACAAGGGATATATGAAATATTGCTGTTGCTTACAAAACATGCGAGCATGCCCCATTTGAAGCTCTGGGCCTGAGTGTGAATGAGAGCTTGTGCCCACCAACAATTTCCACAAATGGCCAGAGTCATACTCCCATCCACCTCATTGCCAATTCCTGGTTGGATCTGCACCGGTTTCTTCCATGGGCTGCATCATCTCCACTGTAGCCTATGCAGGCAAATTATGCAAGTTAGAAATGGCCTAATTGTGCACATCTCCTGTCTGATGGCTGCCCTGTTTGTGCAAGTTGTACACTCAGCAGCAATTTAAATGGGAATGGGAATTGGGCAGGAGACAGATGGTGGGACAATACTCCGCAAATCTTGGCAATCTTGACCATGGTTGGCTTGTCCCTCTCTAGAACTTGCCCTTCTGAAGTCTGCTTGCCAATACCTTCCAAAGTACCAAGTCACCAGCCTGGTCGAGGAATCTATGAGGGCACCTTTAAATTGGCCACTCAGAACCCAGTGGGCCAGCCTTCTCCAACCTGAGGTCTTCCCAACACACTCATCTGAAATTCCCATCATTCCTAGTCAGCATCAGAGTTGGAGACATAGAAACTCAGAAACAAAGTGAGTCAGAAGGGGCCTCCTGGGCCATCTAGTCTGACCCCTGGCTCCAGCCAGCTGCACTCATGTGATCCCCAACATGTAGTGTATAAGGTGACCCTCAAAACCAAAATTAGCAAAGCCAAAATTGGGGGTCGTCTTATACAGCTGACCAGAAAAACAGTCCCAAATATTGACCTTGTCTTATACACAAATCACCTTATATACCAGTATTTTTTCTGAAACATACTTCCTGATGGCTTGTTCTACATGTTCTTACAGTATTTTTCTGAAACGGCATTCCCGGTTGCTTGGTCCACGTTATTTGTGTGTGTGTGTTTGTGTGTGCGAGTGCGCGCGCGCGCGTGTACACACACACACACACACACACACACACATCTCAGCATGTAAGATGACCACTGAAAGCAAAAAATGGTAGTCATTCTATACAACCAACATATGACAAACACCAGAAAAACAGCCCAAAATATTGGCCCTGTCTTATTCGCAAATCACCTGATGCACAGATACACATATTGTAGTTTTTTAAAAAAAAATCAGGATTGTAAACTGACTTGGTTCTTACTGCTCCAAGATGTCAGGAGTGTAGCGGGAGCTGGAAAGTGTGGAAGGCTGGTTGGGAGTTGAAGAGGAACGTTAACTTGTGTGGTGCACGGATGAAACACCCCCCCGCCCCCCATAAGGGTGCAGTCCTATATAGGTTTAGACAGAAGAAAGACCTACAATTCTGGGCATGCTGAGAGCGGTGGCTTTTTTTCTGTAGGAATTTGCATAGGACTGTGTCTTAAGACAGCTAAATCCAGGCTCTAAAATGTTATTGTTTGGAAGGCAAATGATCAAAGGCTGAATCAATTGGGCTCTTTTAACCGATTCACAGCCCTGCCTTTTAACTGTCAGTGCTCTTTTCCTCTTCCTTAGGCTGAAGAAATTATCCCTTGAACAGGATGCGATATTGGAGGAAAATGAAACGTTAGTAGGTCAGAAACCTTGAACGGATATTTTATAGCAGCCATGGAAAATGGAACAAAGCATTTTTGAGAAGAACTCCTGTTTCGCCCGGAGGGGGTGCATGGCTTCATTTCATCGCAACAGATTTAAACGTCTGGGATGACAAGATTAGAGCACTAGGAAATTCTTTTCTGTTTTCTTTCGGGGTGTGTGGACAGAACAGAGCGCTTTGCAAGCCTGAATGCCACTCCGTGGGAATGGAACGCAGAGGTATTTGTACTGCAGCAGAATATGTCAAATTAATAATAATACACTAATATACTAATGGTGAATCCATTCCCTGCGTCTGAATCCTTCCATCGTCAAAAGGACAGCATACATGCTGCTCTGGCTCTAGATTTTCTTTTCTCTTTCTTTTAGGTCCTCTGCTAAGGCACTTTCATGGGTTTTCCCATCAGTCAGCTTGATTTCTCACCACCAACAGCTGCTTTTCCTCCTCCTCCTCTTCCTCCTCCTCACCATTGTTCCCACTGCCTTGCTTGACAAACAGAGGGGGCAAGAAGACTGTGGCATTGCCTCTTCTTCTCTTCTCTGGGGCAAACCAAGGGGCTCTTTTGAAAGAGCAAATTGCAACGGAGAAAGTGAAAAAGCTCCAGGGGGCTCTTTTGAGTGGGCGCCCCCTGGAGGAAGATGAACAGAACAGTGCTGGCCCAGCATCCATGGACAAGAAAGAAATATCAGCAGGCTTGGGGGAATCCTGAGGTTTGCAGAAGTATAAGAACAAAACTCCTTTAGGGGAGAAAATGCTCAGGAGGCGGGAACAAAAGGCAGCATCCAGCAGTGTTGTTCCATTAGCGCAAATGATACTTCGCTAGCAAGAGCCGGGTTCTGAGCCACGCACAAGAGAAGGCTGCAAGTAAAGTCCTGCTTGTACAGCCGGGGTGGTGCATTCTGCTTGTGCGAGGGCTTGTGCAATACAGTGCCACCTGTTGCACACAGCTCTTGTGCACAGCTCCTACACCTATGTGGTTGCACAACAGCTTGAACAAGGGGCACAAGCAACTGCTTGTGCGATGGAAAGGTTCAGGAGAGGTGTGTGGAATGACTCTGTGGGATATTGCTCCAAGGAGGCAGAGTGTGCTCATTGTTCGCAGAACTCCGAGCATCTCTTGCGGGAGGGAATGGAAAGCTGATGGGGAAGGGGAATGGAGAGATCTATCTTGGAAGACAGTTTGGTTGCTTGGCCGTCTGGCAGGTTGGCTGGTATCCGGAACAGGAGAGCTCCACGCTGGGGCAGCACATCCCTGCGGTAACAGATTATCGAAGAGTCTGTGCTGAGAAACTGTATTAGTTCGGCCCTGTGCAGCCTTCGATGCTGCATGCAACTGTCTTGCAATTATGCCAATTTCATGGTTGCATCTACTGCAAAAACCTCATGGGATGGCGGGTCTGTGTAAATCAGCCAAAGCCTTTGACTTGCAACATGTAAATATGGTACATAAATTGGCTTAGTGCCATTATGAGCTCAGGTGTCTTTGTTGGATATGTGGAAAGCATAGAAACTGAGTCAGAAGGGGCCTCCCGGGCCATCTAGTCTGATCCATGGCCCCAGCTGGCTCCACTCATGACACACCCAGCATGCGCATGCCCAGCCTATCCTTGAACTCCCTCGCTGATGGGGCTTCAACCACCTCCCGTGGAAGCCCATTCCACATCCTAGCATTCCTGTGCTTCCTGGCATCCACCCTCAATCTTGGTTCCCTGAGCTTTGCTCCATTGGAATGTGTCCTGCCCTCCACTGCAGGGGGAAAAAGTCATGACCGACCTCTGCGTGGCACCCCCTCACATACTAAAAATGCAGCCTCTGGAAGTTGTATATGAGGGGTTTGTGTGTGGGAGAGAGAGAGGTGGGGGGCAGCCTAGATCAGTGGCAACTCCAGGTTTTGGGGACACCAGGACTAGATGCCCTTAGCCGACCCCATCTCTGGGTGAGCCAACCCTTTGCTCACCATTGTCACTCTGACACATTGATACATGCTGGATTCAGGCAGCATCACTCCCCAAAAGGAAAGGAGAAAGCAAGTGGAGAATGCCGCTCTGACTGGTGTCCACATGCTTGGAGGTGGCAGCCGAATGGGTGCCAACAGTGAAGGAGGAGCAGAAGCAGCAAAGGCTTCAGAGATCAACACGTGGTCCCCTGGATTGATGTGGACCTTGGATAGTGGCCAGTGATGCTGAGCTCTAACACCATCTCCGGCTCAGATCTAGAAGCAGGTGCCTCAGCCGTTCAGCAAGCACAGAGGGGTTCTAACATTCCTACATTCTGTCTCAGTGTGGTTTTAGCCCAAGGGCCAAATGCAGTTCTGAGAACCTTGCAGGATCATATTCCGTTGGTGAGTGTAGCTCCAGGAAAAACGGGTGACTAAGAAACACCAACATGCAGAGAGCCAGTGTGGCATAGTGGTTAGAAGGTCATCCTGGGACGCAGGAGAGCCGGGTTCTAGATCCTGTTCAGCCATGAAGCTCACTGAGCGACTTTGGGCCAGTCACTGACTCTTAGCTTAGATAACCTTGCAGGGTTGTTTCGAGGAAAAATGGAGAGGAGGGGGCCCATGAAAACCACCTGGAGTTCCTTGCAAGAGGGGAAAAAGCTGTACTAAAATAATATTTTTAGGTTAAGGCTCATTTTGACAGTAGTTAAGGCTTAGGAGAGGAATTTAGAAAGAAGAAGGGAGTGCAAAACCTGGAAAACACCAGACAAACTGTGGTCAGGGAAACGTGCCAAGACCAGCAGCAAGGTGCACGGTCACCTGATGGAGGAGTGACCTGGGACTCCAGGCAGGTGGAACTCAGCCTGAGGGCTTCAACACTCCTGCTTTACCTGTGCTGTAGGCTATCCTAGGCTCTTGTTGGGTCCAACTTTGATTTCTGATTATCTGTGATTTTAGATCCATTTGTGGTGGGATTTGGTCTCTTCAAGACTACAGACTTTCTGTGGTTGATCAACAGCCAGCAATTCAAACCCTCCCTACTTTGCCCTCCTTCAGCCTCTTTCCCAAGACCTTGGTTCCTGTTCTCCATCGCAGGACAGGCATTGAGGTTTATCTAACCTCTGCATGGTCTTTCATAAGCTCGTTAAGAAAACATAGGTAGCCTGGGGAGAGGCAGCCATTTCTGAGAGGCTGTGAGGTGGAATGGTAGCCTACCACAAACATCTCTTGACTTAAGAAGGGTTAATTTTGAGGGAGGACTCCAGCAGCAACTAGCAGGATTGGGAAGGTGCCAAGGGCCCACCTGCCCTCTGCCAGTCCTTGACTGCAGACCAGTGGGATATGGGTAGGCAGCCACCATTTTGAAGCCTCCACTGGGACTGTTGTGAATGGCCCTTGAAATGCAAGGTTTGCCCTCTGGTTGGGCTTCCCTGGGTCAGCTGTTTGCATGGCTGCTGATTGCAGGGCTGCAGTCGCATAATTGCTTTCACTTAGTATTGCTAAAACAGAATAGTCAGTGATTCGTGTATTTAGCAAGATAAGAGTGGGAAGAAAACAATAAATTTAAGGCAAAGTCTTGTGACACAGGATCACATTTCCAGATGATTCAAGTACATGTGAATGGATAGCATAATTTAATCTGATGTGTTGCAGATACTATCTGAGCTAACATCTTTAGCTCTTTGGGTGGGGTGAGATACAGCAGAACACTAGTAAGTAGTAGAAACACAATAAAGTCAAAGTTTTACTCACAAGGAGCACAAGAGTCATTTTATCATCGCATGCCTTGTCCCTGCTCCTGATCTTGTCTTTCACTTCCCAGAGTGCTCAGCACTTCTGAGTATGGATGCTGGTGGAGCCATTTTGTCAACGCCTCACTCTCCAGGCAATGCACAGCCCAAAAGCAACTGCGTTCAGGCAGAAGGGACGACTTACAAAGCCCTGCCAGGGTTGGATGAAAGAACAGTCATAACATCAATGTCTGACTCTTTCATGTGAGGATGCAAGTCTATGAAAATCCCAGATTCCTTGCAGAGCTCCAACAGTGTGTCGATATTACTCTGGGACAAACGAAGGTACCTGTGCAAAGACAATAAGAGAGTGAGATAACCTGATTAACACCCTTGGCCACCTGCATTCTGTAGATTAATCTCAGCCATAGCAGATGCTCTTGGCATTGACATCTGGCAAACCTTGGCAGCTGTGCAGGTTCAGGGAAGGTCAAAACGCCCTCCCTCTTCCCCAGGCCCCACTCCTGACAATCGGGGCATGGGTCCCATAAGTGGGCCTGTAGGCAGCTGCAAAGCCATGAGCTCTCCCAAGTTCTCTGAATTCATCTCACGTTGTCTTCTGTTCTGAGTCTGTTTCAGATTGTGAGCTCTGGTTCGGTTCACTCAGTTCGGTTTGGGTTTGTTTGGTTTCATTCTGAATGAAAATCCATGCCTATCTCTACAGGGATCTCCCAGATTAAGCATCAGATGTGCACATTTTAGAAATGTTTTGAAATTTTGAATCCTGAAACGTTTGCATGCAGCCTAATGCATTTTTGTTGCTGATCTGCAAAGCACATTGCAAACTTGGAACTATATGGATACTGACTGCAGATTGTGTTCCAAAGAAGGATCACCACAAAGTACAGCACAGAGCAGCAAAGCCCCCCCCCGCCCCCGCCGCCCTGGATCTGAGGGACATTCCAAGGAGCTGTCCTGGATGCTGGGGAAGCTGAGCAGAGAAGCCACAGGTGGAGCAAGTGAAGTAGCCTTGGCAAGCACGCTAGGGAGTGGTTCCCAACAGGGACACCTCGTGCAGCCCAGACGGCTTCAACCACACACAGGAAAGCCGCATCAACACATTTAAGTGCTTTGCAGAAGTATGAAGCATTCGATAGAAAAGGAAGAGTGAGAGGGAACACAATTAGCCCAACTAGGCTTGAGGATGCTCTGGGCTCATGGGATGCTGAGGGACCGCGGGGGAAAGGAAGAGAAAATCTAGGCGTGGGAGGGAAGGGGCAATAGCAGGGAGTGCTAAGCATCTTATACCAAAGGTTGCAACTTTTTGCCGCATGGCCCACGCTTGTTTCTCCTAACCTGCAGCTCAGAATTTCTTCGGGTTTCATCTGAGGCAATGACTCTAGTGACCTGAATTTATCTTCTTCCCTTTCCTTTTCGAGCATGTTCTTGAGTTTTTTCTGCAAGGCAGTTTGCCCAGAGACTGGATTATGAAGATGTAGGTTTGAAAGGGTGAATTGGTCGCCTTTTTTCAACAGCCGTTGCAAGGAAGGAAACAACGCCACTGCTTCGTGGAGGGAGATGCTGTTATCCAGGCTGGAAGGTTTGGAGCTGCTTCCCTTCTTGGTATCTCTTCCAGGTGGGGGCATATTGTAGGTGCTGTTCCTGGGAGCATTTGCATTTCTGGCCAAGAGGGTTTGCATGGGCAGATTCATTCCACTGAAGGGTGTGAGGTCCTTGGAATGCTTTACTAAAAGAAGAAAAGACAAACAGGAGAACAGTTTCCATCTGCAAAGAAAACATCCATTAAATACTGTTCATGGACACGGATCTGACCTCAGGAATAGTGACATTTCAAAACTTGGAGCAGAACTTGTGCTACTGACCTTAAAGGTAGTCCTGCTGGAGCAAATAAACATCAAAGGGAGATTAGAGGGGAAGGCTGCTGAGTGAGAATTCAGCAGCAGCTTTGATTTGATCACCAGAAGCTTGAACCAGGATAATGGACTTTTATCACACTACATGCACTACTGTCCTTGCTTAGAGCCAGATGTTTGTGTTCTCAGCAACAACTGGACTGCGAATGACCACTCTTAGTTATACTATGTGTCCCTATTGGTATAATACTCATTTAATTTCTTTCTGACCTTACCGTGCACAATAGAATCTACAATCTCTGTGTAGAAACCTGAAAGGCACTACAACATTCCCTGTATCTGTTGAAGAGGGCTGCAGTCAATGACAATTCATACCAGAATTGCAGTGTCCCTGGTGTTCAGCCTGGGTGCTTCATGCAGTGGAGAATTCTGATGAGGATGAGACATAATGCTTCTTCAGGGGTAGGGTGAGTGCCTTCTTCAGGGCTCCCCAAGCCAGAGGCTTCAGCCCTGCTGCTGTCTTCTAGTTCAGAGAGTTAGTCTCTAGCAGAACCACCATTTCCCCAGACTCACAAAAGTCTCAGGCTACAAAGTCCAGCCAGCTCCTTCAGCAGGCTCTTGTCAGTCTATCTAAGTCTTCAGCTGGCTTTGGCTGCTTGCTGAGACAACATCCTCCTGTTTTCCTCTTTGGACAGAGTCCCAGTCAGCAAAGGAAGGAGGTGGAGCTTAGCAGTAGAAGTGATCAGGGCCAGGGGAAGGGGGTAAGGCCATCTGGAAGACCCTGTTGGGACCCCCAGATGGACAGATTTGGATCTTGGGCTTCAGGCTCCACACCTCTGTGCCCCAAACCCAGAAAAGCAGAGCAAGGTTCTGTGAATATGGCGCTTCTCTCCTACCATAGCTGGGTCTTTTGGTTGGCAGTCGCAGAAAGCTCACGAAGTTAGGCAGATGGTCCCCAAACTGGCTCCAAGGAATGTCAATGGATTCTTTCACCGAGACTGGCCTTGTGTCCGTGTATTGATCTTGACTGGACTCAGGATAGCTGTATGTCTTAGGGGTGAGATGTGGGGAAGGAACCAGTTGTAGTAATTATTTATTTGTGTTATATCCGGCTTTTTTCTCTAAAGTGGATCACACCATTCTCTTGCTACTGCTCTCAAGCGTATCCCCACTACAACAACCTTGTGAGGTAGGCTGGGCTGAGAGTCTGTGACTGGCCCAAAGTCTCCCAGTTGGCTCCATGGGTAGAACCCAGATATCATGAGTCCCAGAAACACTCTCTTACTATTGAAGTGCATAAAGTTCCCTAGGCTTTGTACAAATATAAGCCCCAAAACCCAAGGCTCTCTGGGCAGTTCACTGGCTCTCTTTTATTTATTTGGGTATTGAAAACCTCAGGCCCTTGATATCATGTGCACCATTTTAACTAACAATTGCAACTCCGTTTTTCATCCTCCCAGCTAGTTCTCCGCACCTTCCCCTTCAGCATGTGGTCCCACATGATTCATCCTTTCCAACATCTTGTCCGCCCTGTTCCTCCATCCTTTTGCAATCACTGAATGAGGCCCATAATGTTATCCATTTTGCTCTGGAGCACTTTTCCTGTATCTGATGAACTGTGAGTTTTAATGACCATCTCAAGTGTTGCCTGCTGACCAAAACTGAACCCACGTCAGATCAATGAAAATCAAGAGGGAGGCATCAGTGTACATGAGAAGCTCTGATATTTGAAAAAGTTGAAAAGAAACATTGGAAAATATGGAAGGGAGCACCACAACCCCTGAAAAACAGTCCAGATGGGGTTATGCAAGCTCAGTAGGTGGGGGGCGGGGCTGAGTCCCAGCTGGAAAAGGAAAAAAGGAAAGGAGGATGGGGTGCCTCTATGTGTGATGTCCTGCAAAGATCCACTGAAAAGAGGGCGATTCGGAAAAGGCCTTCCTAGAGTAGCTTTTTCTGGACTGCCCATCCATTCTGCCCATTCTAAACACGTTCCAGCCATCAAATTCATGCCAGGACACCTCATTTTTCGAACCCTAACCCTACCCTGGTGCACACCCCTAACCCTAATACAGAAATAAAATACCATTGAAAAGAGGGCGATTTTGAAAAGACCTTCCTTGAGTAGCTTTTTCTGGACTGCTCATCTTTTCTGCCCATTCTAAACACTTTCCAGCCATCAAATTTATGCCAGGACACCTCATTTTTCTAAGCCTAACCCAACCTGGTGCACACCCCTAACCCTAATGCAGGGCTAAAATACCATTGAAAAGAGGGCGATTTGGAAAAGGCCTTCCTTGAGTAGCTTTTTCTGGACTGCTCATCCTTTCCGCCCATTCTAAACACATTGCAGCCATGAAAATCATGCCGGGACACCTCATTTTTCCAACCCTAACCCTACCCTGGTGCACACCCCTAACCCTAATAGAGGGTGAAAGTTCCGTTGAAAATAATGCTATTTTGAAAAAGCCTTCTTGAGTAGCTTTTTCTGCAGAACTCATCCTTTCTGCCCATTCTAAACTCATTCCAGCCGTCAAAATCATGCCAGGACACCTCATTTTTCTAACATTAACCCTACCCTAGTGCACACCCCTAACCCTAATTCAGGGCTAAAATATCATTGAAAAGAGGGCGATTTGGAAAAGGCCTTCCTTGAGTAGCTTTTTCTGGACTGCTCATCTTTTCTGCCCATTCTAAACACATTCCAGCCATCAAATTTATGCCAGGACACCTCATTTTTCTAACCCTAACCCTAACCCTAATCATCTGTGCCACCTGTGAAAATGCTGGATCCAGGAGCACCCTGAAATTCTGAGTCAAATTCTTTCAGGGAGTAATGGAGAACTTCCAACCAATGGTCTACATATGGCCTTCCCTGCCACCTCAGTTGGCTCACTGGGTTTTCTCCAGGCCCTCTCCCCTCTCCCCACAGCACAGCAAAATGTCTTGTCTCCAATCAGCAACTACTCAGAGATAAGAATATTTGTTCGCTTCCCTTTGGTTCTCTGTGTTGCATTTAAGCTTCCATTGGACAGCGGAGGCTGTTTAAGAAGGGCCTCACAGCAGAAGAAGGCATTTTGAAGAGGTGCTGCTAATGGAGAGCAGGGCGCTCACCTTCCCCTTCCTAATACTGTGACTACCCCATCAAAAAGATCACCTGCTGGATGCCGTTGTTGGAACACTGCCAGTGGGTGGGAAATGACTGAATCACTGTGCTATCTTTGATCATAGATCACAGAGACATCATAGATCAGAGGTAATATTGCAGCTTCCTCCCCATGCCTTCAGGGGGCAGCACTTGAAGAGCTGGCAAGCAGCTGTGGGAGTTCACCCCAATCCTGAAGGGATCTGGCTGGCTGTTTTTTGGGAGCCAAACTCGGGGCTCAATGGGGTCTGATCCAAGGGGAGGCAGTGTGGTCCTCCTAGGCACCAAGGCACCCCCAAACCGCTCTCTTGGCCCCCTCCAAAGTGCCCCGCCCCAATGTTCTCTCAAAATCGATGCATTTTCTTACCAACAGCCTTTGCCATGCTTCTCATGGGAGCCTTTTTGTGGTGGTACCTTGGACAGCACATCCAAGTGCCAAATGCACCCTTGGCCCAAAAGGCTTGCCTACCCCTTGGCTGATCCAACACAGCCGTTTTCTGATGTTCTGACAAAGCGCAAGAGAAGTGCCATTTTCCTCATGACTCACTGCAAGTGGAGCAGTGTTAGGCACTTGAGATCACGCACATTGCAGGCATGAGATCTGCTTTCATTGGCAGCTGCTGGGCAAACACACCGCTTTTTAAAGAAGAGCTTGCTTCTCCCTTAAAGTAAGACGTTCACAAGGGAAAGTGAGGGACAGATGGCAAACACAGCAAACCTCTCCCATGAGACAGCAATGGCGTATTCAAGGAAAATAGGATCTGAGGGACTGAAGGGTCAGTGGTGAGCCTTCTTTCTGTTTTAAATGAAGCTGATGTGGGTGTTTTCTCCATAATTATTTTCACAGAAGGCAAGGAATGTTTGGATCAAGTTCAAGGGGAAAACTGCACTGAGGGGATTTTAATTGGTGCATTTAAGCAACTTGCCATATCCCTACTCTGTTTTGAGCAAAAGTTGATGCTGAACTTTAAAAACACACACACACACACCAAGAAGAGCCCATTGTTCATCTTTGCGTTATTTTCAATTTTCAGATCACGGGGGGAGTACAAACTTTTACCTAGCTTTTCTACAGTTTCTGATAAGTGAGTCCCCCAGCAGCTCCCCTGAGATGTGAGGAGGGTTGGACTTCATTTGGAAGGAGAAATGGGTTTAATTACAACATGGGTCTCAAACCTCTTTAGACCTAATGCCTAAATGCAATTTCAGAGTCTCTGAGGTTTGGCCTTCAGGCGGTGGACAGAGATGAAGACAAATGGGATGGAACCAAAAAGCAAAGATTTTAGCTTATTTTACCTAAAAACTCTTACTGCCAGTAAATAAACCTTAAAAGAGGCAGTTCCACCTTTTAGATGGGGGGGGCTATATAAAGGACAGAAAACCTCCAAACAAACAAGGGAGGGTGAAAGGTGTTGAGTACACAAAGAAATGCATTATTCATTCATTTATTTACATTTCTATCTTGCCTTTTTTCCTTCCCTGGAGCTCAATGTGGCTTACGTAATTTTTCTCCTCTTCTCAATCTTATCCATGCAAGAACCCTGTGAGGGAGGCTGAGCTGAGAGCCTGTGATTGGGCCAAAGTCACTGGGTGAGCTCCATGGCTGGGTGGGGAGTAGAACCCAGGCCATGTGAGCTTCAGCCCCACGCTTTTCGCCCTACACCACACTGGCCCTCCCCGTGTATGTGGACAGAAAGCAGAGACCAGGCAGAAAGCAGATGTCCAAATATTTTGGACTTCAACACCCACCATTCCTGATCTTTGGCCATTCTGGCAGGGCCTTCTGGGAGCTGAAGTCCAAAGCATCCAAGAAGCTACCTTCACCCCCACCCCCCCAACTTGGGCTCAGAAGGCCAGATTGGAAACTTGGGTGGCCTGGCGGTTCTGCACTTCAACACCCCTGATGTATAAAGATACACACTGAGTATAGAATGGAGGCAAATATCATAGCATTTCTAGAAACAGCAAATCCACATATCAGCTCTCCAGCTGGGCTCTGCCAGATGGTTCCAATTTACAGCTGTAACCACATTTCTTTCACCTTTGTATTCTTAGTCTTATTCAAAAAACTGGGTCTGTCACACCTCCGTCTCTCCTGCTTTCTAAGCATGCTTCTTTTCTGAAATCTGCAGCCAGATCCAGCCTACAATGTCGGAGCTTTGGGCAGGAAAGCTGTCGTACCCCAGAATGATCTCAATCTTTCTCCCACTGGGAAAGCAACAACCATCTATTCTAAGCAGTGGGCCAGCAATATCCTTCACAAAAAGGAGGTATGGCCAAGAGTAGCTGCCCCTAAGCTGCCATAATTGGCTAGCGGTCATGGCCTACAGACTGGCAGATGGAAGACGTTGGACCACCGCATGCCACCATCTTTAATCAAGCCTGTTCCAGCACATAAGGCTCAATGGGCTTTCTGAAATAGGGGAGTCCTCTGGCACACCGTCTGATATGAGAACAGTCAAACATGCCTGCTCTTCTTCTTGTCAAACCAATGCTGCCTACGGTGGCCCAGGGTGCAAGTGCAATTGCCCAGCAGCAATTAGTTGGCAGTTCTTTGCAGGGTCAGACACTTTCTGCGATCTGGAGGGAATGCAAATAATAAATGGTAGGAAATACGGCCGTTTGAAATGCAGGTAGATTCATGCTACGATCCGTATTTGTCTGCTGAGTGGGAGAGTCCAGAAGTCTCTTCCTTTGTGCAAGGCGGCTGAGTTCAGAGGGAAGGAACAGGCTTGGGTTAAGGCAAATGATGGGGACGAGGACAGCGTTGAAGATGTGGAGCCCATCTCCAGGTGGGGTTCTTACTAACCCCACTCATGGGGAAGGGTGTGGAGATTGCCTGCTTTGGGTGATGGAACTATAGGACTTCAGGGAAGTTTGTCTGTCTTGGAATTCCCCAACTATGTTGATACCTCCCTCTTGTTTGAGGTTAGGCTGCTTCTACAAATATGCCTACAGGTGTCACACCCTGAGCTTAGTAGCTGAAATAGTGATTCTTAATTTTGCATCGTGCTTTGGTAGTGCCTGAGATGCAGAACCCAGATTGGGGCTGTACATCCTCTTCTTCCTTAGGAAAAAAAAATAGACTGCCAAGCTGCTTTCCCAAAACACGTCATTACCTTATAGTATAGTGTTTTATAGGACATTGAGGGTGAGATCTGTGCTTGCTTCTTCAGCCATCTTTTCACTTTCCTCTCCTCTTGTTTCAGCAGGTTGGCATTCATTACCTTCATGGAATCAAGCGACCGCCTGATCCTCTTCAGCTGAACAGAAGAGAGGAGGAGGTTAGGAATCCTGAATTGATTTTAAAATGCCTACTTTCAAACCTGTTATCAAAAAGCAAAACATAAATAAAAATCTGGGAAAAGTGATTATTTCCCATCCTATTGCCTGATAGTTGTTATCTTTTTAAAGCGTGTAGGCACAGAGAAGCAAACATGGCTGCCATAAAAATATGTAAATTATCAGGTTGGCCAAAACTGGGATTTTTGTTTTTGAACTGGACTCTAGAGAGCAACAAACCAGAACCAGAACCAGAAATGAAGCAGGAGCTCACCCTGATTCAAACTGAGGAACAAGGCACCTTTCAGGGCACACTAAGTCCAGAAATGTGCTAGTAATCCCAGATCCAAGTGCACACATCCGGCCTGCCCCACCCCCACCCCCAAATATATATATCTTGGGTTATTTTCTTTTTCAGTAACCTGAAAGTGGAAGTCTTTGAGTAACTGGTGAAGTGTTGCACAAAACCACAACAAGAAAGGCTCGGCTGGAATATGCCATACAGCATGAGTTAGGAATATGGTGCCAAGTGCATGAGTTCACCAGCAGAGTTAGCAAGCAGGGTCAAGGGCGGTATTAGAGAGAAAGGAAGCTGCTTTTGGAAATGGAAGTCTCGCCCAAATGAGGAAAATGAAAGCACTAGCTCGCACAAGGGAGATACAAGATTTTAAAAAGCAGCATTTTGTGGAGCGCATCACTAGCCATATCAAGGTCAACAATGCTTTAAACAGGTCAGAAGTTAAAACCAGCTTGAGAGGCCGCTGGACCATTGGACAACATTGTAGTTAAAGCAGAGATGGTGGAGAAGCAGAATGCACTCTTCTGATATCTCTTCATTGTGGAAGATAAAGGACAGATGCTTGTCAGGAGGGGAATTGGAAGAATTGAGGCAAACGGTGGTGATAAAACACGTTGTAATTGGTATTGACCAATTAATCATCCATTAATTATCAGGCCCAGATGGGATCCTCTCTAGATACCTTCTAACAAGAATATGAAAAATATCCTGAAGATTTGTGACCTGGCCAGAAAACTTTGGCTGTTGGGCAGCTTAGAAAGTAAGCAAGCAAGCAAACAAGTCCAGCCGCTGTACCAGTTGCCTGGAGAAATTTAAAAAAGGATCCAGGTGTGATTTGGGAAATTATAGGAATTGCCATCCCAATGCATCCTTTGCATAACACTTTGAGGATTATAGCTAAGCTCAGAGGAACAGCGAATCTGGGAAAAGGGTGGACTGATGAAGCCAGGATCTGATAATTAAAAGTTTTTGCTGCTTCAACTCTGTGAGTGCCACCTCCGTCACACCAAATCTTGCAGAAACATAAATCAATTCTCTTTGCTCCTTTACAAAGACACACAGATAAACACCTCTATTTTCAGCAGTGTGGGCAGACTCAGATTCTAGCAAGTAGCAAGGACCTACTTGGTCACTAGCAACATCATGAGTCATAGAGAAAGTTGTAGATGCCATGGCACTGGGAAAGTAATATTACTCATACTTGACTTCAGGGCTGGAGCAAAAATACCTCCTGAATATGGGGTGAATCTTAGGAAATTTCTTAGGATTTCTTAGGATTTTCAGTGCAGTGGTCTTGCTTTCATGGATGAGGTGGCTGAAGGTTTTTCTTCTTTACCTTTTCCTTTGCAACACCCCCAAAGGATGGGAAGGACTCCTCGCTGCTGCTGCTCTTGCAGTACTTCCAGCACAGCCAGTTCCAGGATTGGAATACCTGGAAAGGATGCTTAGCATAGTCCTGCAAGGCAGTATGTCTTGATGCAGCATCATTTCTAGGACTTCTGCATGAAAAGAATTCACTGCCTCCAGCCTGCCCGTGGTACACCTCTCAAAGAACCAGCAAGAATGTTGTTTTATTCATTTAAAAGAAAAGGAGCAAGCAAAAAGAAAACTCTTCATCTGTCATCTTCAAATGTTCCCCTCCCACTTTCATAGTCTTAATGGGAGGGATGTTCGGCACAACCATCTGGCATTGTTTTTGGAGCATCCATGGAACATAGGGATAATTGACGAACAGAAAGAGATCAGCCACAGATCTGACTTATCTGAGTAACCTCTATGGTGTAGGGACGGATGAATCTGTCAAGATGGATTTTCTTCTGTTTCTTATATTTCCAATATCAAGTTTGTTTTATTCATTTTCTGCATCAGTTTGCAAACCCCCCAAAAAAACCCTCGGCACAAAATTCTTATTAAGTTTTGCACACATTTCTTATATATACAATTTTTACTTCCTTTCTCTAAGGTATGCATTTCTCCTAATACCGTTCACACAATTCCTAATGAACATTATCTCCCAGTGTCATATTTCTTAAGAATATGATATTTGTGTGTGTGCAGCTTTCTAATGTACACGTTCTGTGTGCACTTTCCCTCATTATACTTATTCTTGTACACAGGTTTCTAATTGTAACTTGCATTGTAACGTTCAGAAAAGTACAAGTATCACTGTATAACCACATTCTGTTTCATGTGTAAGTTCCAGAAGTGCAAATTTGTTAAGTCTGCACTAAAATGTGGACCGGGCAGATACTTCTCTCTGATCTCTGCTCCAGTAGCTGCTCTTGGAATCTGCCTCATTCCACCACGTTGCTCCTCTAGGGCTCCTGGTGGGTGCTGTCGCACATGCAAGCAGGCTCTCTTGCTTGCCATCACCTCGACTCGGAGCTACCTAAGTAGCTTGGATCAACACGGACTTTCACCACCAACTGCCTGGCAGCAAAGACACACACAGATAAAACAGATTTCTCACTCCATACTTGAAAAGCCTCTCTGTCATTTGACACCCGCAGTGCCTTTGCTCGTTTGTTCTCCAGCCAGTCCATACTGCTTGATGACCTCCAATTCATGTCAGCCATGGCTTGGCCTTAGAAGGAGCATGGGGTCCAGTTATGGAGACCCGTCACCATGCAGGTAGCCTAATGGTGGCTGGACAAAGTCAGCGTCATTTCCAACTACGCTTCTTGCTCAGTGAAAGCCATTGGCTGGCCTTGTTGAAGATGAAGCAACCACCAACAAATTGTGATGTAACAATCTGTGTTCTTTCATGGCCCCTGGAAGGGTTGTCCTGGCAACCAACATGAGTAGGAAGGTGATAACACGGGCGGACGATAGTCAAAGGAGGGCAAAAACATGCAGTCCTACATATCTACACTTAGCCTTTCCCATTAAGATTCAGGTAGAAATCTAAACATATATTTGCAAATTGCTTGGAGAAAGTGAGAATCCAGAGAACTTTGGGAACTCCCCAGCTTCCGCCATCCCCATGCTGGCTGGGCATTATGAGAGCTGCAGCACATCTGCAGGGCACCAAGTGGGGGAAGCCTGGTTCAAGGGTAGGGAAACCGATGGGCATAGGATAATGGGCAGGAGAACATGCCAATCTCTAATGGACTTTGCAGCCACAGAAGGTGGGGATGGCAGAGCAGGGTTCTGAGGAGCAGGGAATGGGCACGGGGTACCAGAAGATGGAGCTGCATATGCGCCACGGCCTGCCTTCACTAGCCTGCCGCTCTCATGTTGTCCCACCACAACAGCTGAAGTAAGATTCAGCTGCTTTCCTGTTCTGGAGAGGAGCTAATTTTTTAAATAGAACACACTTTTGGGAACTACAGGTAGAAAAAGGCACACGCATTGGAATATGCCACTTGAAACACAGCTGTCCTGTGTTTACCTGTCACTTTGAACGACCCATAAAAGCCACCCGTGAAATCCCAGATCACTTGCTTTGGCTGTTGTCTTCAGACTTAAGCTCTGACATACGTGTTCCAGTGAGGAAGGGAGGAGGCCTTTGCCGGCAACAGGTCTTGAACAGAGAGGAATGTTCCCATTTTCAGAGTTGTGTTAAATTAAACCAATAAATCTTTGGAAATGGTAGAAAAACCATTCACCCATAAACATTTCTCAGAAGGGAGGATGGAAGCTGAGAACGTTTTTCCCCCCAAAAGAAAAAAAAAGTTCAGATCTACTAATCTAAGCCTCCAAGGGGTTTTTTAGACATCTTAATAGCTTGATGAAACAAGGTAGTTGGAAGAGATTCACTTCCACTGGGAACCAGAGCCATCAGTGGTATTGGCCCATCTTAGAAATATTGGACAGGGAAGCTAACTAATGGTTGAAAATTAAGGGAGCTGGGCAGAAGGTTTCATGGGCAGACCTGCTTTTCCTCTCTCTTTAAGGATTATACAGTTTGCCAGATACAAGTCTTAGGAGACCAGATAACATAAAATTGTTATTAGATGAGGTGTTAAGCACTATGTGTTGAATGTGAAGAGGACAACTCCTTTGTGCTCTGTTTAGCCAGAAGTGGACTCCAGTCTGTGAAAGCATCTGCCCATCATCCCCAGTATGACACTTCAAGGTGAGCTGAATTAGAGCTCTCATCATCCAAGGCCAAAAGGACATTCTTGGCTGGGGATGATCAGAGCTGTAGACAAATACATCTCAGAGGGCACCACGCTGAGAAAGTTTGATGCATGGGATTTGTTCCTCCAGCTCCTCTTATGTTTTCGGTGCCACTTTTCACTGTAATCATTACATTTGAAAACACACGCAGATCCGCAGCTACAGTTTCACACGCAATTACTTCGGCATCACTCCCAGGTGGCCATTTCAAACATGTATCTGACAATTTCCTTTCACAATTGCAAATAAAAATACTTGCATCCCTTCATAAATTTTACTTTTAATTAATTAGACTGTTTAGTGGGAGAGAGAGGTGCCTAAGCAGAGGAAGAGGAAATGGAAGCCTGGGTGAAGGATTCAACCTCCAAACTTTCCCATGCATTAATGCAATAGTAAAAGACTGAAGAATCATCTCACTTGAAGGAAGTCAAGCTGCAAAGCTGGCCCAGAACATGTTACGAACATAAGAAGGGCTGTGTTGTTGTTCAGTCACAAAGTTGTGCCTGGCTCTTTGCAACCCCATAGACAACA